GCCCAGGCCCAGAGTTCAGGCCCCACGACCAGACACAAAAAAAAAAACCAAAAAAAAACCAACTAAGTTTTTCGGTAAAATGGCTTTCTTGAGCAGTTCTGACTACTTGCGTGCAAAATGCTTAAGAGTTCCAAAGGGACTTGATATATAGTAGGAGAAGGTATAAGTAGTAGTATACTGGTAACAAATAGTTCCTAAAAAATAAGAAAACTGATTTTCTGATTTGTTTGTAATATTTTCTGATATCCATATAACAAATATTCCATGATAGCCAGTTTCAAGATACCAGCTTGATATCAGGGAGTAAAAATTGGTAGTTGTGACAAACCCTTTTTACCATTTGCATATGATTAATACAAATAACATCGAAGGCATAGATGGCATAGATTAGTATAGTATTGCTCCAGAGTATGATTGGTAATAAGCAGGCCCAGAGTTGTATAATAGACTGTTACATACATTCTGTGAAAACAAAAGGAGGAACATTTAATTCAGTAATGAATGAGATCTAGACAAGTTTCCTAGATTTGGTAATACTTGAACTGAGACTTGTAGGACCAGTTAATGCTAAGTAGATAGGAGACTGGTGATAGGAATAAAGATTAAGCTATATGAAGGTCTAGAAATCTTGTGTAGTTGTATTTCAGAAATGAAATGTTCATTAGAAGCTGAGAAAAAAACATTTGCTCTTTAAGCTGATAAGTGTAAAAATGAAGGTACAGAGAAGTCAGAACATTTCTAATAGGAAATATTTTGATCATAAGGAACTTAGTAGGAATTGTTGGAGCTAGCCTAATAGAACTTTGTATACAAAAGTACACAGAGCATAGAACAAAATTAGCCACTTTGGGGATTCAGATAAAATTTTGCAGTCTTACGTTATAGGAAATATTTACAGCCCAGAACAATAGATGTTAAAAAAATCTTTATAAATGATGATTGGGGATCCAGGAAATAAGAGAAAGTGAATTTTTAGATATTTTAGTATTAATGATACAGGAATTCACTTCAGTAGGGGAGGAAAATTAACATCTATTCTAAACTTAATGGTAACTCAAACCCTGCCTGAGATAAATTGGTTGTATGGATGGTAATTCTGTCAGCATAGCTCATTTGACTACTGTGCTATAACATGTTCCTACCTAGGGAAAAGGTCGCATCTTTCAATTTTGTTTAGATTTATCTTCGAACTTTTGTTTTTCTGTGCGTGACTATTTTATTCCTAGCTACAAGACATTCTTACCAAAATGTGTTCGAGCAAAGATCCAAGACTATCATATTCTGACAAGGAAGAGAATAAGGTACAGATTTCGCAGATTTATTCAGCAGTTCAGTCAATGCAAAGCCACTGCCAGAAACTTGAAACTTAAGTATGTTATAAATCTGGAAACTCTTCAGTCTGCCTTCTACACAGAGCAGTTTGAAGTAAAAGAATCTGGAAGAGGTCCTTCAGGTGAGGAGATTTTTGCAACCATTATAATAACTGGAAACGGTGGAATTCAGTGGTCAAGAGGGAAACATAAAGAAAGTGAGACACTGACAGAACAGGTAATCCTTAATGATATGTTCTCATTTTTGTTATGTTAAGTAGAATGCCAATAGAAACAAAGTAATTTTAATCATTTGAAACATGGTTTTGCACTTTTCCCGTGATGAAAGTAGTGTGAAGTCTTCAAGGTCATTTCATGTTCTGAAATGGCTTTTAATTTAATTTTTAATGACAATAATAATGACTTTTTTACATTTTTCAGAAAAGGGATGAATTCGATAAGTGATTATAATCTTTTTCTTGCCTTATTATTAGTAATAAGGAGTTTTAACCATAAAGCTAATTAAATGGAAAAGATTATTTCTAATTGATTTATGATAATGTGTGTCTATTAATTAACTTATTGTGTTTGGTTTTCATTGAAGTTATTGTCATTGTAGACATTTTAAATTTGTCCTAGGGGCTGGGAAGATGGCTCAGTGGTAGAGTGCTTGCCTTGCATGCCTGAGGCCCTGGGTTCGATTCCTCAGCACCACATAAGAAAAAAGCCG